AGTACTGAAAAGGCTTTCAATACTGAAAAGGCTTCGGGGCCTGAAAAGCTTTACAGTAGTGAAAAGGCTTGCAGTACTGAAAAGCCTTTCAGGCCTGAAACTACTTCCAATAGTGAAAGGGCTTTCAGGCCTGAAAAGGCTTTCAGGCCTGAAAAGGTTACGGTACTGAAAGCCTTTTCAGTACTGTAACCCTTTTCAGGCTAAAAGATGCAGGTAGTTGTTTTTTGGAACCAAATGAGAACCGGATGGGAACTAAATGGGAAGTAAATGGGAACCGAATGGGAGCCAAATGAGAAAAGAATGGAAACCAAAGAACCGGATGGTAACCAAATGAGGATTGAATTTGAAGCAAATTGTTTGGGTTTTATTTGCCGTCAGGAGTGGAGACGCATCCATTCTGACACTGATAGTTTGAAAACTCCCAAAATATCCAAGTTAGAAGGAGTTGATAGAAAATAGATGGAAATTTATAAAACATAAATTTTCTAGGCTAAAAATCTTTTAAACGTTTGGTTTTGCATGATAATTGAGACTGAAATGTAAATTTTATGAGTTATGCATGTAAAGAAAAATATTATAAAACTTCTTTTAGCACAAAATTTTGAAATAATATTGTTCTTATAAGTATTTTTCATTTTTGGAAACTCAAGCGTAAAAATCAAAACATTTCCTTTATCGTAAAATATCTTTGGACTTTGGTTTCACGATTATAAAAATTTTCTGATCAAAAAAATCATAGCGACATGTTTTCGTTGAGTCTTTGAACTTGAATATAAAAAAGAAGAAGACAATGAACAAGGTTTTTGTAGTCAAATTTGTAATTTTTGTAGTCAAATTCATATTTCTCTGAGGAAGAAATATTACAAAGTGGTGAGGAGTTTTATCGAAAGATAATTGAATATTTGAAAGTCTATTTGTAATTATTTCTCCACTGGCTAGTAAAATTTAGAACATTCATGTAAGCTTAACGGCCTAAAAGCAATTTGGGTAATTTTTGAAACTTTTATACTTTTTTCCACTTTAATAGAGAATTTACAGGAGAAGCTCTCAATCTTGGGTCAAAATTGTGAAAAGAAAACATGATGGGTGGTCCCGGGGTCTGTGAATCCATTTTCTCTTTCCATCCCATTCCCCCTCATTCCCTTTTCACAAACCACCTATACTCTACACGGTCAAATCATCGTTTTACTTGCGGGATTTTTAAGCACAAATTTATGTATCCATATTTCAAAACTAATCAAAACTAAAACCACTCGCAAAAAATTGATGCTAGCAATTGTATTTTGTATATACAGTAGCGGATTTTAGCATATTTTTGTCTTACCAAAACTTTGTTGCAATTTAAGCCATCAAACCAAAATTTGCCCTGAAAAAATCTTCTGGAATTAGTATTTTACCAACTAAAAATCCTCACATAATTTAGTCAACTTAGGTTTCAAACTTGAGCCACTTTCTTCCTAAGGCTTAAGGTCAATAAAATCAGAGGAAAAGGAAAAATTGTCATTGTTGAGTGGATTAAATGAATGGAGGATGCCCATAGTGGTTATCATGTCGTTGTTTGTCTCTCTTGTTTGTCGTTGTTTGTCTCTCTTCTCATCTCTCTTGTTAACAAATAACAAAGTAAGCTTCGGCAACAGCCTAAAAGCAATTTGCCTGACTCGAGCCGACTTTTCCCCACATTTAATGGGTAGAACAAACTGTAGATGTAGAATAGAAGCAGTTGAACAAAGCAATCGGAACAGACTGTAGCTGTAGAATAGAAGCTTTTTTCGAAAAAGCAATCGAAAAAAGCAATTTAACAAAGGCATTGAACAAAGCAAGCTAAAAAGCTTTTTCTGCCGTGTTTTGATTGCCCACCTGTGCAGCTAACAAAGAAATTTCAGAAAATATCAAAGCTTCTAAATGGAGTAAGGATGAATGGCGGAGTGTCAAAAGTGGCCCAAGAAAAGCTGAGAAAAGGAAACGAACGGAGAAAATTGAGTGCAAGTACTCACTAGAAGTAGTAGAATGAAGAAAACAGAAAAAATGACAGAATCCGCTTTTCTTGTCAATCTTCTCTCACTTCTCACTTTTTGAGGAGTGAAGGCAATAGACTTTTATTCAAAAGATCAAATCAAAAGTTTTCACAATTTACTTGACTAAATTTTCCATTAGTGACTAAATTAAAAAACGTTATTAGAATGAAAAAATCTTTTCAATTTGATTTATTTAAAACATGTCATTTTTCAGGCCGACCTCGAGTGGACCAACTTTCAAAAGTGAAGGCGGTAGTTGAAAATTTCAAGTAATTGAAGATTAAGTTGAATTTTAAATTGAAGCAATATCAATTTGAGAACGCTAAAAGCTGCTCTTCTAATTGTTCTTACAAGATTTTTAAACGCTTTTTTCCAGGAGCTCCCATTTCATGAAGCCATCAAAATCACTCAAAAATTGGATCAATTTGTGGTTAGTTTTGGGAGAAAAATGCTTGTTAAAATGCTGAACGCTAAAATGCTGAACCCTATAAAGTGCCTTTTTTGAATGCGTAAAGCGAAAGGAGCGATGAGAGACCGAAGCCCATTTTGGCGACCAAATTTTTGGCAAATTTTCAAACAAAAAAATTGTTTTGACACGTTTCCAATAAGATTCCCAACAAATGTTCCTAGGAAAAATAACAAAATTTCCTTTAGCCTCGGCAAATGGTTTGCGTTTGCGTTGAAAATTATTGATTTGCAGAAACGTCCAAATCAGAAAGTAGCCGGAATAAAAAATGATTTTTTGATCGATAAGAATTCTCTTAAATGCATATGCAAATTTCGGAAATAGTTTATTCTTTGTGTTCATGATTTGTGTTATTCAAGTATTGTTGTTTTAGCAATAAAAAGTTGTAAAGATTTTGATACAATGCTTTTTCAAGTTCGTACTTGTCGCTATTAAAATTTTAAAATTAGTGCAAAAAACGTGTTTTCTTGTGGCTTTCTTGTGGCTCTCAGATCGAATCAGTGCACAGAAAATCTTTGTTTGATGGCTGGGAAGCTCTTTGAGAATGATCTCAACTTTTTTGCTTCAAACAGTACGCCGATCGAGTCAGGGCGAGTGAGGGAAATGGCTTGGCTTAGACTGGCTTCCCTATTCTATTAATTGTTTTTTACAGCTACAGTACCTTGGCTTTGAGTTTAAACTATTAGTGTGATACATTTTCTGAAAGGTCTTTTTAAGGCTGACCACGTGGTAATCTTATTATTTAGTGGTAAAACTAGGAAGTTGCAGACTCGGGGAAAGTGACGATCTTTTCAAATATTATATTTCATTAGTGTAGATACCTGTTAAACGAGTAGATAAAAGACTAAGGATACGCATTTTTAACGTAAACCTACGAACTCGAAGAGATCTTGGCGAAGAATGGCCTAAAGGGGCCCACCGAAAGTTCTTCCCCCCTTCCCGGCCATCCCCTCCGCCCCTCGATCGATCAAGCAGGAGCAAGGGAGCCCAAATCAAACCCCATGCGGATCACTTGTAAGCGATCGCTCAACTCTTCTCGTGACTCCCCTCCCGAAGACACACAATCAATCGGCTCCCGATTGGGCACTAAAAATCAGCAACTAGTGCTAGGTCCCCTAAATTTATGTTCCTATATTTTGCTCTTTTCGTTATTTTTAGTCCCTCATCGGGTTTTATGTCACAACTCTCTGAGACGACGTCTGCGATGGCTATAGAAATATCAAACAAAACTTCGTCTAACTATATTCTATTGATTGTTCACAATACTCTGGCTTCTTCTTGGGTGCATAAACGAGCTCGGAATTTCTATAATTTTTTAATAAAAAAATATGCACAACAAAACGAAAAATTTCAAGTAACAACAACAAAGGCGGGTGGCTCTAAGAATTTGAAACGGTTGATTTAGCAAAAAGTTTCTATTGTGAAAATTAATTTTTACTTTTTACAGTATGCTTCTTTTTCATGTTTTTAGGTTTTGAGACATGCTCTTTCTGATAGAAAATGATTAATAGTTGTAGCGGTGGTCAAAACGCAAAATTCGCTGTTTTAGAGGGTGCGTTTAAGAATTTAAAGCGCACTGTAGTACCCCATAATGACGGTGCGGTTTTCGTTTTGGTTTGATAAAATCGGTTATGATACAAGAGCATTAGAGACGGGCAGCTTTAGGAAATGGCTTTATTAAAACTGCGAATAAAACTAATGATGTGTAATTGTACTAACCACGATCCTCCTCTTGATGATCCTTGGTTAATCCACAAACACAGAGAAGAGCTGTTCTGGTATCGGTCTCGGTTTAGAAATTACTCCTGGACTTAGCCATTGACGTTTTCGAGATAAATTGTCGTATTGTATATTGCAAGAAAAAAACAGTAGGTGATTATTCGAATGATTATATTTCAAACCACCGCGTTTTCAGATGCCCTTGAGCAAAATTTTTGGGGAAGGAGGGAAGGGAAGAGGAGGGAAGGAAAGAGAGGGTAGAGAGGGAGGAGAGGGAAGATGAGGGGAAAGGGGAAGGGATAAGACTACTGGTTTTCCTGTTTACCTTGTAAAGAGAATAACGCCAGAATCTACTTTCTTCCGCGTAGATTTTACCTGGCAAAGAGAATAAAGCCAGAATCTACTGGTTTTCCATTGAAATTCAACTTGTAGAACGAATAAAGCCGGAATCTACTGGTTTTCCTGTTTACCTTGTAAAAAGAATAAAGCCAGGATCTACTGGTTTTCCTGTGGATTTTACCTGGCAAAAAGGATAAAGCCAGAATCTTTTTGCCGAACCAGAGTCTTCGAATCTTTTTGCAAAACATTTATGACCAGCATGTTGGGTCGAGATATGCTTCCGGTGTGCGTTGTTTTCATCTTCCCATCTCTAGAAATGCAATTGCTTTTTTCGAGCATATTCTTTTGCAAACTTCGATCAAAATTGTTTAGGCCATGCAGAAAGAGAAGAACCAATCGATTTCAGTGCCTGAAATCAGATTTTAGTTTTAATGCCAAACTTTATTTCAACCTCAGCTTCATGATGCGTTGATGCTCGATTGCCACCCGTGCGCCCCGAGACCCTTTTGTGTTCCTGAGCGGATCAATTCTGCTTCCAACTCATCAGCCAAACCCATCGCGCCGTCCTAGGTAAATCGGTTTGGTTAATGTTGGTTTGCTAAAAATAATAAAGATATTAGCAAATATACTACTTATTAATACTTACTACTTGCTACTAATATACTATATTTTCTCAAATCAAATGCCTATGTCTCGAGTAGTAACCAGCACAAAGTTTATCAGCACCGCTGCCAACCATAAAATAAGTTGCTGAAGTCCTAAGCTAAAAAATAAATAACGAATGCATTTCTCAAAACCGAACCTTGTACTTTTCCCATCAACATCAACATCCAGCGCCATGTAACACCGAACCAAAGCACCGATCCAAGTGATTCATCGAGAATTGTTTGACAGGTTGAACAATCCCTGTTAATAGAATAAAGCTTTCAGCTTAACTATTATAGTTTACCTCGAAATTCGTTCCCGATTTTTCTTCATTTCTTATGAGAGAGACATTTCACCGTATGAAATTCCATCGGACGAAGCGGCCGCTCTCTTCAATTCCTCAAGCCAGCTCTTCCCCGGATTCTGTCTGGAGTTTCTCGCATTCCTATTAACAAATAATTAAGTCAAATATTGTAACAAACTGTTTCGATAGGCCAAAAGCCACGGCTATGAGATCGATTTGTACATCACTTGCCATGCAACCATATCAGCAATGTAGGCAACAAGTAAACTATCGATCTCTCGGAAAAAGCCTAAACTTTGAAGATTTACTTCAAAAACTCAAACAGTAAGAGTTTC